CTTGTGGCTTTTCTCCCTATATTCTTCCTCCTAACCAAAGAGGGGGAACTGCGTTACATCCCCACCACGCCTCCACCCCACTGATCCCAGCTATAGGGCTTTGCCTCCATGTCTTAGCAACTTCCCAAAGGCCCCACCTTCTAATACAGTGACTTGGGGGGCAGATGTCAACATAAGGGCTTAGGGGGGTCATACCACTCAGCTCATAGCAGAGGGGATGTGACACCGCTGTCCTTGGGGTTTGAGCAGAAACATGCAGAGCCCTCCACGTAGAGGACAGCCTGCATGTAGATGTTTGCATGATTTTTCCTCCTGAACTTTGCTTTGAGCCTAGGTCCCCAACCCTCACCCACTATCAGCATTGCAAACTAGCTGTCACCTGAGGCCACTTTGGGTGAAGGCCTGGCCTTTCTTCTCTGGTCCCTGGATGTGGACCTCACTCCCTCTGTAGGGAAGGCTCTGCAACTTGCTCAATGGCCTGTGTCTGCAGCAGCCACCAAGGATGGTCCTCTGTTCAATCAATAGGCCACATTGTGCTGAGCAATTCAAAAGCTGGAGGTGGGTGAATGGGTCCTGGAGGAACAGAAACAGGAATGGCTCCATGGCCTACTCCGTGGAGGACACAAAGCAGACTTGGTGTCTCTCCTCTGCCCTGCCTGCCTGCATCTTCCTGAAAGTCAAAAGGAGATTCCTATTAAAAGCATGTTGACTGAGGCTGTTCTTCCAGCTCCCTTAGCTAACCCCTGACCTTCACCACCAGCCATCGTTTTACTGCCTGTCTGGTACCTGGTGCCTGCCTGCTAGGCAAAATTGTTAGGCCTGTGAGGTCACAGCTTTGTCTTCTCTGCTGTGTCCCCAGTGCCCAGCTCATAGTAGAGGATTGATTGATTTATTTTAGTTAGTTTTAGAAGACCGTCTCTTCACTTACAGCCTCAGGAAACCAATTCCCACTTAGACCAGAAGTCCTGCACCCATAAGCTATTCCTTTAAGCCTATAACTAAGCAGATTCTGGGCCTCTCAGGGCATGCGCATCCTCTGAGAAGCCTCTTGCTCCTTGCCCAGTGCTGCCAGCTCACCGTCTTTTATGGAAGGTGGTCTTTGACCCAGAGGGAAGGAATATGGCTCAGCTAGCTTCTAGAAGATCCTGAACCTTCGGCCTCTCTTTTCTCCACTGTTTTCCCTGCCTCTTCCAAGACTTATCTCTGAATCATTAACCTCCCCTCTCCCAGAAATGCCAGTGGGCTCCCTTCGGAGAGTCTTGTGATCAGATCACAGGGAGAGGGAGTCTCCAGAAAATGAGCCTCTCTGCACTCCCACAAATGAAGCTCTTGGTTGAGGCCTGCAACTGTACAGCCTGCTATGCCCATGAAAACTGCCATGACCTTGGCTTCCCCAGAGCTTGTGGATGATGGGGTCAGAATTTCATCCCCAGGGAGCAACCGAGACCTGAAATTTGTTGCTCCTGCAGTCTCCTTGCAAACATGTAAGCACTAGGTGCTTTTCTGGAAGCGGAACTGCACACTCTCACAACACAGTCCCATGGCACACCCTAACATTTATAAACTTACACATTCGCAATTGTTTTAAAGATTGGGGGAAATAACTAAGAGTTCCTGAGAGCTTTAAAGCCTTTTATTTGTTTACACATTCTCTACATTACAGACAAAAGATTTGTTGCTACCTGGGTAGTCAACACTGCTAATGAATCACAGAACAGGATACTGACCACAGCAAGGAAGAGACAGGAGGCTTGTGACTCAGTCATTATGAACAGGCGAGGGTCCACTGAGGGCCTGGGGTATCCAGCAGTTCCAAAGCTAAAGGCTGCTCAGTGCCCATATTGTTCGTCGACTCATCAGCTACAGGTCCTGACCGCTTCAAGGCTCCTCTCCTGGAACCTGGTCAGGGAAGGAGGACGGCAGGGAGAGCGAGCAGCCTGGCTCACAGGCAGCCCTTCCAGCCAAATTTCTGAACGGAGAGCAGTTGCCAATCTTCTGGACAAGTCCTGGTCAGTGAGCCAAGTGCAGATCTGGGCTATTTCCAACCTATAGATTCTCTTGGAGACACTCACAATATGTCAGCTCTCTGGAAAGTCACAGAACCAGCATGTCCCCGTAGGCTAGTGGGAGATGGGGCACAGCTTCATCACCAATACTGAAACACCAAGAGGTCATAGTATGTCCCTGAGACAAGGGAGAAATATCACAGCACTTTTCACAGTAGGAGACACAAAAACATGGGAATTGACACATGGGAGAAAGGAGCATCTCTAGAAGACAAAGGACAAGAGTGGTACCTGCACACTTATAGACCAAGACTACAAGCAACCACATCACACCTGAAAGAAGACAGAGTTAGTGGAGCAAGGAATAGGGCTTCTTGTTTGTTGCTGTGGTTGCCTTTTAGAGAAGCCAAATGGAAATACCATCTTCAGACTATTACCCACAGCTTCTCAAATCCGCAGCCCTTTTCTCTAACCCCATGAAAGGTGTGTCAGCCTTAGTCCTGCAGCTCAAGGCAAAAACTCTACGTTCAGTCAGCAAGAGGCAATGTGGTGTTGGTCCCAAGGTCCAGTAGGAAAAGTCTTCAAAGGCATAAAAGGAAAACCTCCATTTGCAGGCATTTCTAGTCCTGGACGCCACATCTCTTGGCCATCCTTTTATGAGTAAAAACTTCAGAAGGAGGAGATGGAGGGTGGGTAAAAGACAAGAAAGCATGGGGAAACTGAGAGAGGAATCCTGGGGGCTTCCTAATACCATCCCCGAGTGCTGACCAGCCCCAGCACTGTGGGCAAGCTCCAGCCCCCTACCTTGGCTTGGAAGGCTCGTCCACCCTCATCCTCTGTGAGCAGAGCAGACATAGCTGGACAGAAAACATGGCACCCCTTCACCTGCTTTCTGTGGGGGAACAGATTTGCACCTGCTCCAAATGGAGACCTGTCAGTTGTAAAGTCACAACATTTGCTTTCAGATTTGCTTTTTCATTTGGAAAAATTGGGGGATATTTCTTTCTAAAATTAATATTAAATGAATCTCCCAATCAACAGTTAGCCTTTGAGGACAGCCTGTGTTGGGTTTTGTGTGAGGAGAGAGAGCCAGGGTGGTCAGGAGAAGAAATGTGCCCCTCTGCTGTGATGGGCCCCTCCTAATCTTCCCTTGGCCTTCAGATTCCAGATGGGCTCCATAGCCAGCAGGAGGAAGCAAACAGCTTATGAGGAAGATGAAAACCCCATCTGGACAAGGGCCGTTTAAATGAGACAATTATGTATGCATGTAACTCACTTTAAGGCCACAGGGCCTGCAGGAGAGTGACCCGCATACTCTCACCACAGGTCACTCTGCAAAGGAGTAGGGGAGACCCACACTGCTTGGCTCCATGCCAAGCTGCCCTGGCTCCACTGGCCAAGAGCAATTAGCCAGGGGGACGAAGGCTCCTGCCGAGTCTCAGAGCAAACACTGCAGTGGGCAGAAGTGGCCCAACTAGCCAAGTCTAGGGTTGGGGAGGAGAGCTTCTTCAGGGGCTAAAGGACTCAAAATAACCCAGGCCTTTGTTGTAAGCTGCTGGACCACAGAGCGAAGGCCAAGCATGTGCGAGGGTCCAGCTCACCAAGACCTGCCCTTTGGGCAAATGATTTTTCCAGAACTATGTCAGTTATTGAGCTGATGCTGGGATTCAAAGACAGTCCAATCCACTCCAGCCCACAGGGCTGTCTTCCAACAGAGTTCTTGGAATCTAGGCCTCCCCACCTCTTTCTTCTAGAAACATTACAAAAAGAGAGAGAGAGAGAAAGAGGGAAAAAAAAAAAAACCACACAAGAGTCCAGCTCATTTTGGGGAGATTTGGAGATAAGAACAGCCCATGAGCGCTGGGTTCTGAACCATTGCCACCTAATCGCAAATAATCACGTCAATCCTCTCTCCTCCACCCTAAAATTTCCAGTCAGGTCTCAGTAGCCAATGGCAAACATAACCATATGGAAGGAAGGAACTGCTTGCGAAAGGAATTCAAAGGTCACGTCAATACTGAAAGGTTTCTCAAAGCTGCAGTCTCTTGTATCCAACCTTTGGACACTTGACTGGGGAACATCCACTTGCCTTCCTGGTGCCTGTGTCCCACCAGGGCGAGCTCAGCCAGGCCCCCACACCCAGAGGGGTTAAGAGGCACAGTCTTGAGCACCTTCCTCTGTCCCTAGACTGGATTGTCCTACCTCAAGGTTGCCTCAGCTCGAATGTCAGGGAGCCAGCCTGAGCCCTTGCGAAGTCTCTCCTGGTGAATAACAGATACTGCCTGGTCATGGTAGGACTTTAGTATTATTCCCAATGCTTTCTCCCATCTCTCAGTCCTTCCCCACCCCCCCATCAAGTGGCAACTCAGTATATCAGGATGACTCCAGCTGTGGATGTCACTGCTGAGGTTTTCCTCTTCTCAGAGACCAAGGAACAAGAAGAGATTTCAAGGCTCCGTCTTCACGGTGGCCTTCAGGATCCAAGCCTAGAAGTTTCCAGTGAGGCTTGTAATAAATGACTTCTCCACAGCACTTTGTTCCTCTGGTGAGAGTTCAAGATGAAGAGTCTAAGCTGAGTAAGGAGGCTGTGTGAAGATTTCTTAGACTATATTAGATTAAAAAAACCCCACCAAACTATACACACGTGATCAATGAGTGTTCACAAAATGGTTTCCCTTGGAATGGGAATTAGTGAGAGAATTGTAGTGCTAGGGTAAAAGTGAGAGGGATTCCCCAGGGCTGGGGCCGGGGTTGTTCTTCAAAAGTGCAAGATCCTTCTGGTAAACACAAGGAAGTGCTGGCTGAGGTACCCTATGTGGGGTGGGAGGTAAGTAGATAGCTTGCCCTCTTGGTTGCACACGTCCATGACCTTCTGTAACTATTCGTTTTCTTACAGTTGGTCTGTGTGGATGTGTGGGAGAAGGGTTCCATCTGATTTGAACTGGGCTCTGTTTAGCCTCTCCAGCAGCAAGTCACATTCTGTGACCTGGGGCCCTAGGCCTGGCAGCCAAAGGCTGAGGCTTTCTCTTTGAGCAGTTCCCAGCAAAAGTGGCAGCTCCAGCTTCCTACAAGAGACAAGACGGCATTAGTAGCAGCCCTTCTAACTCTTGAGCCCCAGCCCAGTGGCTCTAATAGCTTACAAAGCCTATTTTCTTTTGACTTTCATAATTCAGAGACCACGAAGTCCTGAAGACATGGCTGGAAACTGTCACTCAGCAGAAAGTAAATGCTCAGAGCTGATCAGAGGAACTGTTGTAAAGAATCCTGCTCCTTGGTCATGCCTCTTAACCAGCCTCACAAGACCTGGGCTAGTTCCCTGGAAGCTCACACCTCCCTACCATCTCAGCCGCATGTCTGAGAAACATCTCCTTGGCCCTCAAGTTGAAATTTCAGCTGGTTGAACTGTGCCTCAGTTTCTCCATGTGTAATATGGTTGTAGTTGTACCTACCTCATAGGGTTGTGATGATTAAATGAGACAAGACATGAAAAGCCCTTAGCACAAGGTCTGCACCATAGTGAGGGCTCAATAAGAGGGAGAAGTAGTAGCTGCTGTTGTTGTTATTGTTGACCTCATCGTCATCACCTTCTGGGGGCTCAGCCACTGGGGGATTTAAACAGTACATGTGATAGCCACGGTCACAGTCATCACAGAAGAGTAGCTGGTCCTGGTGGGATACAGAACAGGTAGAGGTGGGGCAAGAGAAATTCAATTACTAGGGACAATATCTGTTTTCTAGCCTTATTGCCATAGGTTGACTGCCCCCTCCCATACCTTTTTCCAGGCTGCATTTGAAATCTTCATCGTCCCCTGACATGGCTTGTACTTGGCCCACACCTGGGATTTCCCCCTTTGCCTTCGAAACTACACAAATCCTAGCCTCATTCTAGGGCCTTGCCCAAGAAGCCATCTTTGGCTACCACCTCATATCCAAGCTTACAGGGATTCCTTGTTCTTCTGAACTCATAGCCAATAACTGCTTCCAAAAGCAGAAAACCGATGTTATGCATTTCTCTCTTCCTCCTATGACTGCCTAGTGTACTTTAAATATTTTAAAATTTTAATTGAATTCCTCTGAACTCTACTCTTTCTATCTGGAGTGGGAATCAGCTATACTAGGCAGTAACATCCATTGACTCCGTGGAAACTCTTCAGGGTTTCATGATGTACATGTAGACAGAAGCAAGTAGTGGCATCCTTTGATTTCAAAAGCTTCCTCACAGGCTGAGGGCTGGATCCCAGGTGAGATAATAGGAAAGGTTGGTTCCAGAGACCAGTTACGAGGCTGCCATAGCAACACAGGTGAGATATGATAGTCTGAAGTAAACTTGTGGTGAGGGGAGAGAAACAGGCTTGCTCCTACTTATGAGTCATTGATTAGTTACAAAGAATGAGAGGGTAGAAATCCAAGATGGCGTCTGGGTTGTGGCTTGGTCAGCAAGCCAGATAGTGTAGCCAACCAGTGAGACATGGGCAGGAGAGTGAAGCCATGTGGGTGGGGGAACCTCAGCTGTAGACACGTTCCACAGATCTACAGACCACCTGGTACAGATGGTCTGGGGCAGCCAGAGATCAGGAGAGAGATCTGGGACTAAAGTATGGATTTGAAAGTCATTGGTGAGTAGATGGCAAATGAAGGTGCCAGGAGAAGAAGCCCAGAGTGTGGCAGCAAGGTGTCTTTGAACGTGTGCTCATGGAGGGGAATCCTTGATACCCTTGAAATAATATACGCAATTTTGTTCATTTTCTGAGCAAAGAGTAAATCTATAGCTTTCATTGAATTCCCTGAAAGATCAAGGACCCAAAAGAGGTTACTGGGAAGGCCAAGAACAGGTCCTTGAGGAACAACAACTTTAAGGGACAGGTAGAGAACAAAGAGATTAAGAAGCACAGTCAGGGAAGCAGGATGGTAACCAGTACACTGAGGTGTACCCCCTGAAAGTTACATCATCATGTCAGAACTGAAGTAAACTATGACACGATGATTTAGCAATAACACCAAGAGAAACAAGTTAGGATGGGGGCAGAAAGTGGAGAGAACTTGTTAGAAACCATATTACTAATGTTCTAAAGACATTAACAATCGCTACTATAGTGATGACATCAGAACTACAAGAAGGTAGAAAACTCTGGATTGGACTTTCCCAAGGGAAAACCAAATATCTAGAGTTTTAATGCATTTTTCATCAGCTGATCATTGTCTAGCACTATTTTCCCTTCTTTTCCATTAGCTTTTCAGAAAAATTGCCTGTTGAAACCACCAAGAACGCTCAGCTCATGCTAACTCCCATGAGAAATTTAAAAACCCCTTATGCCCATGTGTCCAAGAACCAGAATCCACCTATGCTACAGATTCATTAAAATGGGAATCTCATCTTGGGGTACACGGGGAATTTCTGACCATGTAAAAGGGACCCAAATACCCAAGCAATCTCCCAACACTAGACTCATCCCCTGACTCCTACACTAAGGCTTTGCCATGTCAACAACAAAACTCTTCACTAACACTATTTGTAAAGTCAAGGATCAGATTCACCTAAATGCCTGCTGATAAGGGACTGCTGAATAAGCTAATGAAGAACCATGGAGCTGTGGGTAGGAATGAAGAATATGTCTGTAGATTGCTCTAGAATAATCTAAAGATATTCAGTGGGAAAAGGTGGGAAAAAAACATATATGTATCTTAGTTTTTTTTCTCATGGAGTCCTATGTATAACACATACGCTTACATTTAAACGAAATAGAAAGATAAGCCATACATTTTTATCCAAATGTTCACCCATAAGCAGAGTGAAAGAATAATATGAAGTAAGGATAGAAGCTAGATTTTCTTGAATATAGTATTTCTTTATAGATTTGATTATAGAACCAGTAACTGTTTTGCATAATCAGGAAACAAAATTAAAATTGTAATCTTTCCCATAAAACAAACAAAACAAAAAAATAACATAACTGAATATAACTGTGTATTAAGCTGATAGCATAACCACACAGACAGAAACTATTCCTAGTGACTTTAAAATAAGAAGTTTGACTGTACTTCCTTAGTAGAATATATCTTAAGGACAAAAATAAATGCAAATATGCACATTTTTTTCAGCAATTATATTGTGGGTGATCATACTGGAATTAGAATATTGACAGTGTTGTATGTGTATCAAATGACTGATTATGTTGGTATCATTAAGAACCAAGAATTCTTTTACATGACTAAACAAACATACAGATGCAAGATCAAGGAGATCAAGTTAAAAAACTCTGTAGTTAGTCCTGGATATAAATTGGAGGAATTAGTACAAACTCATATTAAAACACACAAAGTTTTTATAGTTCTGTCAATAGGAAATATCTCAAAACAGTGGCAAATACAATAAAAATTAGCACCTCTAGCATCTATATTATGTTCTCTAAAGACCATTAGGGATTGGCAGAGTGGCTGAAGTAGTAGAGTACCTGACTAGTGAGCATTATGCCCTGAGTTCAAACTCCAGCACACACACACACACACACCACACACACACACACCACACACACACACCACTGCCTACTGAAAGGGCCAGGAGTCTTTACCGAAACAGGTAATTCCAGGTCTGGCGCCTATCTTTACATATTAGGAAGCAAGGAAACCATCAAATGCCGTCAGGATCACGTCATAAGGACTAGATTCCAGCTTGAATATGTCTCTATTGGCCAAAGATGGGACCATTTTAACTGCAATGGATTAAAACAAATAAAATATATTTAAAGATGAGTTCATAAAGACAGTGATTTAAAAAAACTTAGTCACCTTAAGAAGATGTTAGGGAGACATCATACTATTTTTTATTTGTTTAGAAATAATTTTCAGGAAAATTTGCAAAAATGGTACAGACAGTTTCTGTCTACACTTTACTTGGTTTTCCATAATATTAACATCTTATACTACCATAGTAGAACCATAAAGCAGGATGCAGGCATAGTGGTACACACCTGTTATCCCACCTACTCAGGAGGCAGAGGCAGGAGGATCACAAGGTCGAGGCCAACCAGGGCAAAGGTTAGAAAGGCCCTATCTCAAAACAAAATAAAAACAAAAAAGCTGAGGCATGGTTTAAATAGCAATGCATGTGTCTGGAAAGCTTAAAGGATCCCATGTAGCACGTACCTGTGTTGTTATTGTCCTTCGATCTGTGACAGTTCCTCCGATTCTTTGTCTTTCATAACCTTGACACTTCTGAAAGGTGTAAGTCAGCGATTTCGTAAATGTTACTCAGTTTGAGCTGGATCTTTTCTCATAAGAAGACTGAAGTGTGCATGGTTTTTGGCAAGAATCTCACTAAAGTTATGTCATATCCTTCTCAGGGCACACATCAGGGGACATTGACACTGGTTTGTCTCATTACTAATAATATAGTTGTGACTATACAGTTAAAGCAGTGGGGGACAGGTTTCCCTCTATAAAAGAACTATTTTCCCCTTTACAATATGTTAATAAGTAATCTTGTTGGAAAGATATTTTCAGATTATGCAAATATCTTATTTCCCATCATACTTTTGCCCACTGATTTTTGTAGGGATTAAGTCCTTGCTTATAACAATCCTAACTATGACATTTGCGTAATGGTGAGTTCCCTCTTCATTCTAAAGAATTCTGCTCTAAAGAAGAACTTACTTTCTCCTGTTTTAATTTACTTATTTTTTATCTATCAACTCAATTTTTATGTAAATATGAGTTTTTATTTTATTTTTAAGCTATAATCCAAAAACATTATCTTTTTTCTTAATTTTTCCTGGTTTTGGCCACCAGGAACTCTTTCAGGTTGGCTCCTGTGTCCTTTAGACAAGCCCTGTCGTTTTTGGAACATTGCCTTACCTTCTGGTACCACAAGATCATCCAGGCTCATCCTGTACACTTTGTGTCCCAGCCCTGGAAATCAGTCATTTCTCCAAGTTCCTTTATCTAGAGAATGGGTAAAAGGAATATCTAAATGCTATATATCCTCTTTGTTTCCAGGTTCTTGCTGTGGTTTGAGCACAGATAATGTTCCCCAGAAGTCTATGTGTTAAAGGCTTGGTCCCCAGGGTGGTAGTACTGGGAGGTGCCGTGGACTTTTGGGAGGTAGCACCAAGTGGGAGGTACTTAGGACATTGCAGGCACACTCTTGAAAGGGATTATGAGACCCCGGTATCCTCTGCACTCTCTCTCTCTCTCTCTCTCTCTGCCTCCTAGTTCATGATCTAAGCAGTTTACTCCAACAGGGATTCCCTGGCATTGCCAACAAGTGTCCTCACAGAAACCCAAAGCAATGGGACCTCCAGAACCATGAACTAAATAAACCTTTTCTGTTTATGGATTAACTGGCTCAGGTATTTTGTCATAATGCGGAGTTGACGAATACATTCCTCGTTGGCAACTGATCTGGGAATTAAATATATGTGTCGGTCACATGCGTACATCTAAATGTATTTCTGCATCTATCCAATGTGTATATACACACAAATAGCTAGATATATTTCACATGTTACATTACAAACCATGAATTCATATTGATTTCTTCTAGCCAGTCCCGTCCCCCTTTATGAGGTTATTCTTTTTTTCTGACATTGAGAAACCTTACATTCGTCACAATATACAGTTATTAGTGCAAACCTACCACACATGTAAAGTAGTCTCAGAATCACAAATCCATATACTTATGAAAGCAAATGTACAAACTAGAGTGTAATATTTTTGGTGCATATTTTTGTCTTTAACCTTCTAGTTCATCATCAAAAATACTCTTTTCCAAAATTACTTAAGCTAGTTCTTTTCCTCCCACTCTTCAGTATGGTTATGTTGTTCATTTATATTATAGTTAGGTTAATTTGTTACTGTTTATATTCCATCTAAGGTTTCACCACATCCTGGCTGACTATATATCTGTTTGAGGGTTATTTGCAGCCTTATCTTAATTCTGAAAGTCAGAGCTATATAAGAAGGTATTATCAAAGAAATGCGCATCCCTTATCCTTCCATATGACTTCATTTCCATATCACCATTCTTCCTGTTCCCCCTCTATAGAAAGCCTCTCTTATTCACCTCCAGTTTATTCTTTCTTTATTTGTTTTACGCAAGTGCATAGATGTCAATTTTCTTACATCTCTTTTTTAAAAGGCAGCATGATATAGGCAGACATTATACTTTACTTTGAACTTTCATTTAACAATATATCATAGAATGAGTACATATCAATTCATAGATCTCATCCTTATTCTTGAAGGCACATAATACTTTTTTGTGTGGCTGTGCCATTGTTTATTCAATCGTTCTTCTATGTGTGGATATTGGGGTTGTTTCCAATATTTTGTAATTATGCTACCATAAATAACCCTATGCAGCTGTATTTCTGTTGTGTTGGGGGCATTTTCAGGGTAGATTCCTATAGATGGGATTGCTGAGTCAGAAGTTAAGTACAGAGTAGTTTTATTATGCATTGCTATTTCTCTCCAGACAGGTCACACCACTGTATATGTCTTCCAACAATATATAAAGGTGCCAATTTCCCCATTGTTTCACCAACAGAACATATTGTCATACCTTTGATTTTTGCCCGTTGGATAGGTAAAAAAATGGGGACTTTGCTTTGTTTTGAGTTTCTTTAACTATGAATGCATTTGAACATTCATTTCACATGTTTAAGACTCATTTTTATATCTTCTGTGACTCATCCTTTACACATTTTTTTCATTTTCTATCAAGTTCCTGGTTCTTTGTCCCTCATTTTTTTGTCCCTCTTTTTTAGGAGTTCTTCCTCTAGTAGATAGGGACATTAGCCCTTTATCTATGGTATATCCTGCAAGTACTTTCTCCCAGATACCATTTTGACCTTATCACGTTTTTTGACTATACAAATATTTAGAGTCGAATTTTTCAATAGCTTACTTCAATGTTTCTAAATTTTGAGACACAGTTAGAAAACCTTTCCTTATATTTAGATTAAAGAGTAATTCACCCACTTTCTTTTAGTACTGGTATGGTTTAACTTTTTTACATTTAGGTGTCCTGTCTATTTGGATATTGTTCTTATGTCTGGTGTGAGATATGAATCTAATTTTGCCTTTTCCCAAGTGACTCCCCCACTGTACTAGCACCATTCATTTAAAAGTCTATCTTTGACACAGTAATTTTAGATGCCACCTTTATCCTATACTGTCTTTCCTTATGTAGGTGGGTCTATTTATGGGCTTTCTATTCCATTCCAACTGGTTTATCTGTCTACTCATGCTTCAGTACCGCCCTTTTTCAACTGTAGAGGCTTCCCTAGAAAGTTTCAACGTCTGGTGGCACTTATTTCCATCACAGTTTGTCAGTAATTTCTTGGTTGTTCTTGCATGTTTCTTTTTCCATATGAATTGGAGTATCAATTTGTCTAACTCCATTAAAAAGTTTGTGATATTTTTATTGGACCTGAAATAAACTTGTAAAATAACTTAGGCAGAACTGCCATGTCTATAGTGTTGAGTTGTTCTATCCAAGATCATGGGACATCTTTTTATTTGTTCCTTGTATATTTTCAAACATTTTTAGAACTTTCCTTCATATACATTTTGCAAATTTGTTAAGTACATTTGTACGCATTTCCTAGGAATTTATAAGTATTTGTAATTCCATTATAAATGGAATTATGCTTTCTAACTGGGTATTGCTTGTGTATATGACGGCTATTAGTTATATGTTAATTGATACCTGTTACCTTTTATGCTTGAGCTAGCACTATCATTGATTCGCGAAGGTTCTTCAGATATCCTGTAGCTACAGATTGAGTAGCCCCTATTTGAAATGCTTGAGACCGGAGGTGTTTGTTTCATATTTTCAATTTTCTTCAGATTTGGTTTTTTTTCACATTTTAGAATATTTATGTTTACATTATGAAAACACGTAATGGGGCTGGAACCAAAATATAAAGACAAAATTCATTTATGTTTCATGTATGCCTTATATACATAGCCTGAAGGTAATTTTATGCAATTTACACATGAAACAAAGTTTTGAGGTATAGAATTTTCCACTTATGATATAATGTTGATACTCAAAAAGTTTCAGTTTTTGGAGCATTTTAGATTTGGATTCTTTTTTATTAGCAATGCTCAACCTATATTTTATCTGTTCTTATGCTTCTTATTGATTGCTCCTATCTAATGGTGTTGGCTAGTGTCTCTAGAATATTGTATAATGGTAGTAGTATAGTGAGCGTCCTTATCTGGTTCCTAACATTTCCTCATTAAATAAGATTCTGGAGTTAGCCAGATGCCAGTGGCTCACACCTGTAATTCTAGCTACTCAGGAGGCAGAGATCAGGAGGTGATTCGAAGCCAGCCCAGGGGAAATAGTTAATGAGACCTTATCTTTAAAAATATCCAACACAAAACATGCTGGCAGAGTAGCTCAAGTGGTGTAGCACCTGCCTTGAAAGGGTGAGACCCTGAGTTCAAATCCCAGTACTGCCAAAAAAAAAAAAAGACTCTGGCTTTAGTTCTAAGGTATAAATGTTTTCTCATTTTTAAGAAGATATCCTATAATTCCTGTTTTGACTGTTTTCTTTTTAATCATGAGTAGGTATTTTAACTGCCATGTCATTTAAAAAACTGATAAAGGGAAAGGAGCAAGCATTTATCCTGCCTTTTCTATATGATCTACACCTGAGCTTAGGCAAGTTTCTCTCTATAGAATTACTCCAACTAATAAACAAAGAAGAAATTATCAAACAAGAGTATCACTATTTTGCAACCCCTAATGAAATAGTTGATCTAACTGGAGACCATCAATACATGCAATACATGCACTCTCACAAAGCGAGATGCACTAGGCATTGTAGACCTCCTGATTAAAGATACACCACCACCTATAAAGCAGTCTTTCCAGAAAAGAAACAGGGACAGACACAGAGACAGTGAGGGGAGAGAAAAGACAGAGATAACCTAGGTCAAGCCTCTAGCTTAACTTCCAATTTACAAGAAATACATAAGACAAGGGAAATAGCAAACAGCCCCACAAGGATGCATTCAGTAAAATACAGTCATAGGAACCCTACTGAACAAATGATCTGATTACTTCCACACAGAATTTAGGAGAAAAATGGAAAGAAAGATTCATGCATATTAAAAGAAACTTCAAAGACTTATCAACTAACTGTTATATATGGGCCATATTTGGTTCCTAATTCAAATAAAAACATTTCTAAGACAGTTGAGAAAATAGGAGTCATTATTAGACATTTGATGATATTAAGGAATTATTGATGTCTAGCTGCATTAATATTTTGGTTAAAACATAAGGCCTTGCCTTTTTCAGATACATATGAAAATTTATAGGTAGACTGATACTATGACCAGGATTAAGAAGGAGAAAGTAATAGTATTTAAGAAACAAGGTTGGGCTATATTGACCTTTGTTGAAGCTAGTGATGGAGTGTATCAGTTTCATTTTCTCTACTTTTGTATAAGTTTCCATATCAAAAAGTGTTTGAAGGTTCTGCATTTATCATATTTCACATGTAGGCCAAATGAGATCGTAGATGTGGAATGTGGTAGACACAGCCAAGTACATCCCAACCATAAGTGTCATGGTTACCACTTCCAGTCTCTGAACCTTTGAGGGCTAATGGTTAGGTGCTCTCAAGTGTTAGGATGAAGAGCAAAGGCCATAAATGCAGCCCCTGCCAGGCACCTTGTGCATCTCTCTCCACAGCATAAAGAGTACCCATGGTCCCCAAAGCACAAGGATCCCAAGAGTGGTGGAGATGAAAAAAATTGAGTGACATTTTCCCAGGAACCGAGTGCCAAGAGTCCTGCCTTGCTCTTCACTCCCCAGAGGACTTCCAGCTCCTTGGGTTCCCCCCTCCCACAAGGAAAGCCCCAAACTCACATCGTTCTCCGAGGTCCCACAGAGGATGCAAGATTTGCACTCTATGCACTGCCACTTGTAGGTCTTGACGGCTTCGATCATGTTCAAGGTGAACTGCAGGCAGGTTGGGTGACCTGAAGGAAGCCAGAAGCAGCAGTATTAGGGCCAGAGGATCTGGACTGTCTCCCTTGACAATTAACCCAAGTCACATCTGTGCCAGCATGGATTGAGGCTGGGAAACCAACAGGGGCCTGGATAGAGCCCTATTCAGCCTCCTCACCATCACCACCAGTCGTGTCAGATTGAGCCTCAAGGACAAGAACAAGTGTAGATGCCATTCAATCCCCTCACACTAAGAACCACATCCTCCCACCCCTACATATGCTCTGATGAGAGCAGAAAGTGGTGATCAGAGAGAGCTGAAAAGGACATTGCAGAGCACAGAGAACAAGGTTACACTGTGAGAGGCACCAGTATTACCTCCCAAGCCCCAGTTCCAGGAGCAACACCCAAGAACTACTTTGAGTTTGGGCTTCCTGTTAGCCCTGCCTTGGAACACAGAGGAGGAGGTCAAAAGGCTCACATAGGTTCCAGGCACGTGCTCAAGGCAGTAAGTTTCATTGCACTGTTATGTACAGTATCCATGTTCACAGGCAAAAGACTAGCAAAAATCCAAGCCTTGAACGGTCTCCTGGACATCAGAAGAACTGGCAGAAAGAGCAAACAGCCAGGTCTATCCTAAAAGAAACTGTCACTCCTCCATCCCAAGTATCATAGCCAAAACAATAGCCAAATCAGGGCAGGATAGTACCCCGTGACCTTAGAGCACACAGCCTCAAAGAAACACCTGAGGCCTGGCCTGCTCATCTGGACTATGTGCTCAACCATTGCTCACCCTGAACAGAGATGCCAACGGTAAGCAGACAGCTATGAGCTGTAAAATGTGAAGACCCGTGACCATCTACATGACAGGGAAGGGAAAGTAGCCAGTGTTCTCAGGTTTCCCAGTCCTGAGAAATATGACATCAGAATCTGCCCAGAGCACACAAAACCTGGGTGCTCTGCAGATAGGCTGTGGCATGGAACCACTACCCCATGGCACTACTTCCCAGCAGGAAGTCCCATGTCATTCCTTTCAAAGCTTCAGAGAGTGGTCACATATGTCCATTGGGTGAAATACTGCCTATTCAATCAACATAAGGACCTAGTAAACTTTGGCCTCTACAAATACAAACTATACCAAGGTATCTCTGAGAGTATAAGAGTGGGGGTGGAAATGACTGGATGGTGGGGTAGGGACACTTAGGCATATAAGTGGGAGCATCAAGGAGAGGGCTTCTCTAAAAGCTTTTCAAGGGCTTTTCTGGTGCCATCCAACTCAGAGACTCCCACACCCTCCCAAGATGACACCATGGCAATACCCTTACTTGGAAATCCGGGGTGAATAGCCAGCTGATGTCCTGAAAAGCATATCATATCTTCTTAGACAAGTTGTCTAAGAAGAACACTTGCCAGGTTGCTCCCTCTCCAGCCTCTCAGAGAGAAGTCTGCGGTGGGAATCAGGGGAGAAATTTTCAGCTGGGGACTCCGGGTTGCATGGGCCATAGATGTCCAGGTTCTCTGACAGGGTTCCATTGTTAGGACGAAGACAAGGTCATGGAGAACATATCCATCTGGGAAAGGTGACTGTAACTTCCCTGGCCTCTGGCCACACCCCAGCCACAACCAGCCAACTCACGTTAAGTATTCATTAACTCAGCAAGTATTTCTTAAGCACCTGCTAAGAAATACTTAGCTACTCTGCCAGACAAAGATACAGCAGTAAGCAACACACACTAACCCCTTCTAGTTGAGCCAGAGGGACCTCAAAGTCATAAACTCCACACAAATCTGTTATTACAATTGTGTGATTAGTGCCATGAAGAAAAAGCATAATCGACAATGAAAACAAATAGGAGAACCTAACCTCATCTGAGATGTCAAGAAAACCTTCCCTAGGAAAGCTCCAAGCCAATCCCTGACAGACGAAGGGAGGTTAGCTGGTGGGGGGGGGGGGGAGTAGGGGGACAGCTCCTTCAGTGAAAGAGCTTTGTAAATTAAAAAGAAGAGAAAGGTCATTGAGCTGAGGCTTGATGTATGCAGCCTCAAGTATGCAGGAGGCAGCCAGAGAGGTGGCTGAAGCCAGACTACACAGGCACTTACAGCCCTTGCTTAAGGATTTGGGGCTTTAAAGTCATTAAGGATTTTAAGCAAGGTAGTGGCTGAATGACTGGGCTGATAAAGGAGCATTCTGTGGCATGAAGGATCTTTGGGATGAAGTAGTTCTGTATCCTAGTGGTTACATATGTGATAAGATTTCATAGAACTATACACAGACACATGTGTGTACGCACGTGCAAGCACTTAGAACCAAGAAAATCTGCAGAAGGTCTATGATTGCGTCAATGGCAATCTCCTGGTTTGATATTGTACTATAGGTATGTAGGATGCTAACCACTGGAGAAAATTTGGGTGAAGGGCACATGGGACCTCTCTGTAATATATTTTGCAGTTCCCTATGAAGCTATAATTGTTTCCAAATACGTAGTTGAAAAGATCTTTAAAATAAGGAAACACAAATAAGAATGTAAATCATGAGGAAGGAAGAACGGGAAGGAGGGAGGAAGGAGAAAGGGAGGGAAGGGAGGCCTTTCTAGGGAAAGAACTTTGAGGTGGGGGGATACACAGATGCAAGAATTTTTACCAGGAGCTAGAGATGTGGTTCAAGTGATAGAGCACTTGCCTAGCAAGCACAAGGTCCTGTGTCCAAACCTCAATACTGTCAATAAATCAATAATACATAAGAAAAAAAGAATCTTTGCTGGAATACTGGTTAGGAGGCTTATGCAGCTACAAGGAGAAAGACAAGGATGGTTAGACCAGAGTGGAAATTTGAGAAACAAAAAATACATTTTAGGAGTCTGTCTATTTGAATGTTGGGAATGTGGGAAAGTGACCAGAAATATTCCCAAATGTCCGACTCAGGAAATGAAGTAGATGGCATGCTCAGATGAGAAACTCTAGAGAAAGAATGTATAGGCCCAGTGGAGAAGGGGAAGGTTCGTTCTGTGTTGAGCGTGTTGAATTTCGGAAGACCGTGAGGTTTCCAGGGGAAATGTCAAGCAGCACATGGAACATGGGCATTTACGGTCTAAAATTAGGTACTGACTAGAGAATGAAATTTAGGAGTTTTTTCCTAACTAGGTGGTAATTGAAACCATGAGAATCAATGAATTTAGGAAAAGAAGAACAAGGAGAGAAAGGGAGAGGAAAAAATAAAGGAGAAGACAGGAAAAGATCTAGGACTACACTTTGAGGAACTTAATCAATTATTTATGAAGATCAAAATAAAGACCTGGCAAAGGAAACAGAACAATGGCCAGAGAGGCAAGAGGCAAACTGAACAAGTGTGGGGTGACTGTAGCCAGGAGAAGAGATTTCAAGAGGGAAAGGGTCAGTTATGTTACTGCCACTGGTCCTCCAGTTGTTATTTCTCCATAATGCTCCTGAGTGTGGGAGTGTTGACAGATGAGAGCAAAAGCTGCTCTAATACTAACACTCTGCAGTGTGCCCTCTTCCCAAGGAAGGAAGGTCAGCACATTCCAGAGAATGACATAGAACTCAACAGCCAACTGTGCATGTGTGGGGAGGGGGCTGGTGTGTGTGCTTCATGTATCCAGCAACACTCTGCAAATATTTGTTGATTGCCAACTCTGTGTTCAAGGTCTCTTACACTATGCTGAACTCAAGACATCTTCCGAGATAGCTTGGGATCAATGAATGGCAGTGGGGTTTGGAAAGCCCTATTGGAAGTCTTTGAACAAAACCCTATGGGCTTTCTTTGAGTTCCTGTCTTAAGAACAAGACCTTCAACCTGGGAGGAACAGAGGAAGCTCACACAGCCTCCAGCCTCCTTGTGAGGTGTAGGATTAAGAGGAGCTTCAGCTCTAGCTCAGAACTCAGGACCTCACTCAAGTGCAAGAGGAAAGTAGGGGATAGAAATATTGCAATTTCTCAGCCAGGGAGGAGGAGTTGCAAAAAGTTAAGTCACTCAAGCAGTCATCTGCAGGTGCTAAAACTATGCCCAAAATTAAGTCCTTCTGCCTGTGCCATTATACCAGGTTAGCTATCTGTTGCCTCTCTCCACAAACTGGAAAAATCATTTGACATCTAAAACTAGAAGAACAAACTTCTTACACACCATGGAAATGACTTAGAATTGCACACTGTTAGACAAAGGGCAAAGTTTCCAAGGAATTGGTAGAAGCTCATTTCCAAGTTTTGAACTCCTTATTTTTACCCAGACAAATTCCTAAAGGTATAAGTAAGAGAAGAACAGATACAGTCTTTCCAATTGAAGGGTGGAACTAAAAAAAAGGGCATTGCAGTTAAGTTATTCACTTATAATCACTCACTACTTGAGGATTCCTACCTTAATCTCTTTCATAAAGATAACATAATTCTCTAAGATATTGTTTGGAAATCTAGATTTTTTTCATATCTCTAGTTTTCTTAAAGTAAGGAATACTTAAACTGCTAGTTAAATAGCCCAATTTATCCCAGGTCCCCCTGCTGCAATGATTCAAGACATTTATAAGATTTTAATTACAAAATGAATTTAGAGAGTGAGGCTGTGTGCGTGACTTATCCTAGCCAGATCATCAAAAACCAAGTGAAATTTCAAAGCTGAGTTATCAGGAGGGCCCACTTATTTAGTTGGTCTAGTAGTGAATTTGGTATAAACAGGCATTCATGACTGAGCCCTAACCCCTTCCAAAACTGGCCTCCATCCTCCCTAAAGGTTGAAATGGGAAATGTCACCTATGGCTACCCTGGGCAGGAGACCTAACTCTTGGCCTGGGTTGTCAGACACTAGGGATTCAGTTTCAGGGGGCTATTTCAACCTCTGGGAAGAAAAGGAGAGCCTACAGAGTATGGGAGACTTCTCAGACAGGGGAAGATACACCAGAAGGCTGGGAATTCCTGGTGTTTATGGCACCACAGTCTATTGAGTTCAATAAAAAAAGATGGGCACCCGGAAGCTGTAAGTGCTAGCTTGCCACTCAAAGGACACATACCAGGTCTTTATAGAACA